TTGCTATACAGCGCTGCGCTAGTTTAACGGACAATTGTGCGGTCATGCAATATGGTACATAAATGAAATTTACATCCTTTTTTCCCCACAAATTGAGCCTTCTTTCGGTGGTATTTGATCGCCTGTGCGGTTTTTATTTTTTGCGCTAAAAAAAAAAGGCTGACAATTTTGAGGAAAAAAAAAAATATTTTGGACTTTTTGCTATAAAACATGTCCAGTAAAAAAAAAAATGCAAAAATCAAATTTAGTCATAAATTTCTGCCAAAATGCATTCTGCGACATGTCTTTGCTAAAAAAAAAACCCCCAATACGTGTAAAATTACTTGGTTTACGTGAAAGTTATAGCGTTTACAAATGGCGGGAAAGATACTGGGATTTTTAGGGGTTTTTTTTATACTAATAATGGCGGTGATCAGCGAATTATGGCGGCGATCAGGGACTTATGGCAGCAACCAGCGACTTATGGCGGGACTGCGGCAGACATTTTGACATTGGGGGGTACTGACTTGGGGTCACTGACATCCCCAAAAACACTAATACAGTGATCAGTGCAAAAAAAAAAAAAAACTGACACTGTACTAATGGCAATGGGGAGGAAGGGTTAACTTTATTTTTCAGGGAAGGGTTATAGGAGTGAGGGGAGTGTTTTACTAGGGGGCGGGGGAGTGTACTGGGAGGGACAAGGCTGATCGAGAAAGAGAAACTGTTCTTTCTCGATCAGCTCATCCTCGAGCTGAGAAGGAAGTGACAGACAGCACAGCTACTGCAGCTGTGCTCTCTGTCACTGTTTGCCGCCGATCGCCGGGACATAGCCGCTAAGGAGTGGCTGTGACCCGGCGACTGACATCTGCGGCGGTGATCCGTGGGACAATAAGGGCGGCGCGCGCCCCCTATTTGTTTACAAAACACACGTCTTAAACTGTGGTTGTGCCTGTGAGTGCCGCCCTGCCGCCGTATATGTACAGTGGCTGGGCGGCATGCGGTTAAATGTCAAAAATATTTGTTTGTAAATTTTGAGGCGTTTGTTTTTTATGCTGACTTTAACAGATGAAAATAAACAAGTGAGATGGGAAATTTTTCGTATTTGCATTATAATTCTGCACACCAATAGTTGCCCAATAATTCTGCACACATATTCTCCTAAGAAAGCCAAAATGTCACGTTTACTTTCTTAAATATTCAAGTTTGAGGTTTATTGGATTGACCCAGAGCACTGAATTTGTCTAATAATGAAACAAATCCTCAAAAATACAACTTGCCTAATAATTCTGTACACCGTGTATATGTATTTTATATTTTAGACTGGGTGAGTTGAAACCTTGCATACTTTTAAAGGGTGGCGCTACTGAAAAGAAGCTTGAGAAACACTGCTCTAAGGTATCCCAGACTAGTAACAGTGCTACCAAAAAACTACAGGCTGTTCTGTTTTTAGGATATCACACAGAGTTGAACTGGCTTCTCTAAACCTGCCAGCTACCTTTGACTCTTTGGGAGGAATTTAATCTGCAATGAGTATTTGTGATTTGTCAGAGCGTCTAAAAAAGAAGAATTGGAGGCTGCAAAAGCTGCAGCCAGGTCAGATAATGATTCTGAAGAGGAAAATGTTCAGGTACACTTTTATAGAATCTGTGGTGAGAGCTAGCAATCCAAAGTTGCAGTTTGATCCATGAAATTCTGCATGATTGCATTGAAATCCTCCTGGGATAAGGATGAGGGAGGGGGCTGCACCCAGTGGGGCTAAGGAAGCCTTCAAGGAAGCAGGGAATAATGTTGCAAGCTGTGTCAGACCCTAGAGAGGAAGAGCTGCAGGTTTCCCCGAAACTGTTGGTGAATTATGAGCTTGGAGGGACCCAATACAGTGGAACTGCTTCCCACGTGTATGGAATCTGATTCGTCCCACTGCTTGGCAGGGACACATTAACTCAGAATACCAGATAAAACCTTGCATGGTGTTCTGGCATACGAATAGACAAGATGGCTCTTCTGAATGGACTTCTGTGCACAGACTAATACATGTTCCCTCTATTGCTTGCCGAAATTGGGCACATGCTAATGCGCATATACATTGGTGACTCGTGACAGATGCTGGCGCCAAACAGGCTATTAAACTGGGCTAGTGTTCAGAATCAGTGCTGCTTTGTTTTCAGCTGCCTGTGTATCTTGTATTCCTGTGATCCTGATTCCAGTTGCTGACCTGAATTGTCCTGACTACCCCCTGAACTCTGCCTGCACTGACCTCGGCTTGTCCTCTGACCTCCACTTCTGTCTGTTCCATTGGCTTCTGCTCCATGGATTGGCTTCCAGACCGAGCTTGTACCTAGACCATGCCTTCTACCTGTGCCCTGTACATAATCCGTCCTGCTTGTGTATGACCCGGCCTGTCTGACTCTGCTACTTGCCTGCTGCTACTGATACCTACCTACCACTCTGCTGTTCCTGACGATCTACAGTCTGCTACCAGCCACTGTCTCCTCTGCCTGCTGCCACCAGTCCCAGTCTTCGTCAGTCTTCTGCCTGCCTTACTGTAGACCCCTGACTACATCACCTGCCCAGCATGGACACCTGCTCTGCTGCTAGCAAGACTTACAGGGCTAACCAAGGTGAATCTGCAGGTCTCTTGTAATTAGGAGCACTTGTAGGAAGGTGCTACCTCATGCTGGCTGCTTGGAACAGAGGTCATGCTGTGTGCATGCTCGATTATCCACCTAGTGACACAACACTCAATCCCTCAGTGTTTTAACCCTTTCTGTGGAATCAGTGGATACAAGGAGATAATTGCACCCAACGGTTCTAATGAATGATGTAGCTCACACTGCTTGGCCCGCATGGTCTCACAAATGAGTCTTCAGAGGCTGTGCTACAGCTCTGGCTTTGGAAAGCGATTCATGGCTTACTAACATGGTACACATCGGTCTGGAATGCACCACAATGTAGAGTGCAGTACCCAAAGTGTCAGAGCCTGGGTCCGAATCTGGGCCTTCTAAGTTGAGTGGCAATGTTTCTTCTTGCTGAGCCACCTGGAATGCTGGACAGCTCCCTTGACAATTATTTGGAAGATCATGCCTTGACCTTGTTTATGAAACTTGAACCCCTTGCTCCTCCCATGAACTTCCTGATATAAGCCATGTCTCTGCACTTCCTGTTTGCCAGTAACTTGCTCCTTGCCTTCTCTGCTGTTATCCATATTTTGCTACCACTCGTTATTGACCCTTGGCTTGTTCTCGACTACACTTCTGCCTGATCCCAACCTGCGACTGCTCATTACTGACCTTGGCTTGTTTACTGACCATGCTTCCATTTGATCCTTATCTGCTTAATGTGCTGCTGGACCCTCCGCTTGCTCACCTCCTAGTGGGGTGATCCTGAGGACCGCGACCTGGTGCTAACACGCAGCAAAATCCATCTCCACCATCAGGAGCTCTGGTGAACACCGGTTGGTACTTAGACTCCGCCCCTCAGATGAGCCCACTCCTCCGCCCTGGTGACCTTCCTGTGTACCTATCATGCTGGTGTCGGTGTTAGCCTTTCCACTGCCATAGCAACTGGTCGTAGAAGCCTGACCCCTGATCGTGACACAAAGGTCACATTCCAGGCAGTCCAGTGGGGCCTCGATATGGCCTCCAAAGCTATTTCTGAGATATGCTGATCCAGAAATCTGAATTAAATTACTACATCAAGGAGCGTGTAAAGTCCTGATTGACAAAAAATGAATAAACTTTTCATAGTAGAGAAAATGCATCCATCCTCCTAGGACACTAGCAAAGAAAAAAAAATATTTTCGGTATAACTCTCCCTACTCCCAGCATGCCTGTTTTTTGTTTGCCATTTCCAAATCCTACTGTAGGCAGAATAACCAGAAGATCTCAAAATCCTCTGTCCCTCAATGAACAAGTAACACAGTGGTATTAAAATTAGGTTTGCTTCACAACTGTCAACAATTGTGGTGTAGCTTTCAGAACATTATTTGAAATGCTATACTATACTCAAGTCTCTATACCGTGGGTGCTCTTTACAAAAAATAGATTATAAAGCACATCGGTGTAGTTTAAAAGTATTGTGTAGATCCAAGAAAAGTACATTTTAGACTTCACACACACAACCGTACAGCATGCAGAGCCTGCATAATGAGGATCCGGGGACCCGCTGCAGCCAGGATTTTGGACTTGTGGTGTGCTCCTGTGTATAACTGATATCTTGGTCAAGATGGCTAAATTGCTGCGTCTGCTAGTATTAATATTTGCAGATATTTAATAATGCAGATAATGCGTCCATTGCACTAAAGCAAGACCCTGTTTTAACATCTTTTCTTCCGCTTCTAGCGCTATTTGAGGCATACAAGTGGCCTGCTTGACAAAAGCAACATTTTCTCCATCTATGTCACAATTCCTCAGACAGATTACAGCCTTAATGCAGAAGAAAAGGAGGACGCCAGCTTCCCTTGGCTTTGACAAAGGAGGCCGAGCTTTTGAAATGCATTGCAGCCCCACCCACAGGCCATTTACGGCACCTGTCATGGTATCTGTCAACCTCTCCACCGCTTGGTGGGAATTTTGAACGGACGCTTCTGAGCCAGCGAGCAGCTCCCTGCTTTGTCCCACTGTAATTACTGATCCATCCACCTGAGTGACCACGATCCTGCTCCTCTGCCTGTTCTTCATTTCCACATGCTGACTGGAGGATTTTTATATCTAAGTCTTCTGCATTAAAGTCTTTACTGTTTTTCCACAATTCTCACCTGGTGCCTCCTTTCCTCTGCTTTCCATGGCACCTGTCATCTTCTTCCCTGCCGGGTGGGAACTTTGAACATACAGTTGTGCTCAAAAGTTTACATACCCTGGCAGAAATTGTGAAATTTTGGCATTGATATTGAAAATATGACTGATCATGCCAAAAAATGCTCTCTTATTGAAGGATGATCATATAAAGCCATTTATTATCAAATAGTTGTTTGGCTCCTTTTTAAATCATAATCAGAACAGAAATCACCCAAATGGCCATGATCAAAAGTTTACATACCCTGGAATGTTTGGTCTTGGTACAGACACACAAGGTAACACACACGGGTTAAAATGCCAATTAGAGGTTAATGTCCCACATCTGTGGCTTTTTAAATTGCAATTAGTGTCAGTGTATAAATAGTCAATGTGTTTGTTAGCTTTTACGTGGAAGCACTGACTAAGCTAGATACTGAGCCATGGGGATCAGAAAAGAACTGTCAAAAGTCCTGCGTAACAAGGTAATGAAACTTTATAAAGATGGAAAAGGACATAAAAAGATGTCCAAAGCCTTGAATATGCCACTCAGTATTGTTAAATCGCCTATAAAGAAGTGGAAAGTTCTGGGATCTCTTGATACCAAGCCAAGGTCAGGTAGACCAAGAAAGATTGCAGCCATAACTGACAAGAATTGTCCGGGATTCAAAGAAAAACACACAGGCTGCCTCAAAAGAAATACAGGCTGCTCTGGAAAAAGATGGTGTGGTTGTTTTTAAGGAGTATAATATGGTGATACTTGCACAAAAATTAGCTGTTTGGTCGAGGTGCCAGAAAGAAGCTTTTACTGCATCAATGACACAAAAATATACCTTCCTCCCCACTGGGGATCCAAGCCTGTGGCAGTACCAGTCTCCCCGATTGCACAGGCGAGCCCGGGGAATGGGAGTTTTTCTTACATAGCCACTCGGATCACTTCTACATGAAAGCTCTTTGCCAGCTGAATACCTTGATACCAGGATGATGCCTGCTGGTGCAGGCATCATCCCGGTATAACCACTTCAACCCGAGTATGTACAGGTATTTCTTAAAGCTTGGTACACACTAAGTTTTGTTTTTTTTGTTTTTTTCATTCAACCCAGAGCAAAAAAGAACCTGATGGATCACTGTACTAACACAAGCTATGTCAGTATAGCAATCTCCGCTGTGCTGTTGTGTTTTAACAGGGGCTGCCATTGGCTGCAAGCGCTGATCAGATGCTGATTAGCTGCGGGTTTTCAAGCATTGCAAGCAACAGCTTCTGTTGGTTGGACAGCTGTACACATGGGCTGAAAGTCGGACAGTTTCTACCACAAAGGCTGATTTTGGCTGTTTTTTGGCCTGTGTGTAGGGAGCTTAAGGGGTTGAAGTTGTTAAAAAAGGTACTTCATGCATTATGCTTGCTAACATTGAAAAGCTCATTGTCTCTGTCCACAACGCCTTGGCATTGTGCCAAATGGACTCTCCTCAAACATTCCCTGTTTGTAAACAGATTGTTACAGGAAACACCTAGACAATTAATTTAGTCAGTTAAAGGTGCTTTCAAATATAACAGTAAATTATAAAACTAATTTGACTGACTTTTTATATTTGAGTAAATTTTGAGCCAAACAAAATCATTTAGGAACACAAATAAGATCTATGTGAATAATGACTCGATTATGAAATAAATTAATATTTATTTACATAAGTCACTTGCAACACATTATTATTATACAGGATTTATATAGCGCCAACAGTTTGCTCAGCGCTTTACAATTTAACGGGAGACAATACAGCAACAATACAGTTCAATACAAGAGGTATTTGAGGGCCCTGCTCCTTGGAGCTTACAATCTAGGAGGGAGAGGCTAGTGGTACAAAAGGTAGTAACTGTGGGGGATGGACTGGTTGGAAGAGTAGAAGATTCCAGTATTAGCTGAGGGCAGGATAGGCTTCCCTGGAGAGAGGTTTTCAGAGATCGCCTAAAAGTGAGCAGAGTAGGTGATAGTCTGATAAATTGGCGTAGAAAGTTCCAGAGGATGGGGGAAGCTCTGGAGAAGTCCTGGAGATGAGCATGTGAGGAGGAGACAAGGGAGCTAGAGAGTAGGAGGTCTTGCAAGGAGCAGAGAGTACGGTTTGGATGATATTTAGAGACAAGATAGGTGATGTAATTTGGGGCATAGTTATGAATGGCTTTATATGTTGTTCGTGTTTTGAATTTTATCCGTTGGGCAATGGAGCCAGTGGAGGGATTGGCAGAGAGGGGTGGCAGATACAGAATGGTTAGTGGATGATTCTGGCAGCAGCGTTCATGATAGACTGAAGAGGGGATAGCCTGCGATGGGGTAGGCCAATGAGGAGGGAGTTACAATAGTCAAGGCAAGATATAACAAGGGAGTGGATAAGTTGCTTAGTGGTTTCCGAGGTTAGGAACGGGCGTATCTTGGAGATGTTGCGGAGGTGAAGTCTACAAGATTTGGACAGTGATTGGATTTGGGGCTGAAAGGACAGATGGAAGTCTAGGATTACACCTAGTACCCTGGCATGAGGGGAGGGACTGATGTTTGTGTTATTGATCTTGATGGAGAAGTCAGGGGAGGGGGCACGGGCTGGGGGGGTAATACTAAGAGCTCAGTTTTGGAAAGATTGATTTTCAGGAAGTGGAGTGACATCCATGCTGATATGTCACTTAGTAGGTTAGTGATGTGAGAGGAGACTGAAGGGGTGAGGTGAGGGGTAGAAAGATAGATTTGTGTGTCATCAGCATAGAGATGGTACTTAAAGCCATGGGAGTTTATCAAGTGACCAAGGGAGGAGGTTTAGATGGAGAAGAGAAGGGGTCCAAGGACAGAACCTTGAGGGACCCCTACAGAAAGAGGGAGTGAAGAGGAGGAGGCAACGTTATAGGTAACACTGAAGGAGCGCTGCGATAGGTAGGAGGAGAACCAGGAGAGAGCAGAGTCTCTGAGGCCAAGAGAGTGGAGTTTTTTGAGGAGGAGGGGATGGTCAACCGTAGCAAAAGCCGCATAGAGGTCAAGTATTAAGAGTAGGGAGTAGTGGCCATTGGTTTTAGCAGTTAGTAGATCATTAGTGAGTTTTAGTAGGGCAGTTTCAGTGGAGTGTAGTGAGCGAAAGCCAGATTGTAAAGGGTCAAGAAGGTTGTTGTCGGTGAGGTGGGAGCTCAGGCGATTGTAGACTAAGCGTTCTAGGAGTTTATAGGTAAATGGCAGCAGGGAGATGGGTCTTAAGTTCAGGTTGATGGGGTCCAGGGAGGGCTTTTTAAGTATGGGAGCGATGTGCGCATGCTTTAGAGGGGAGGGGAAGGCACCAGTAGAGAGGGAAAGATTGAAGATGTGAGTGAGGGAGTATAGGATGGAAGAAGAGGGTGACCGTAGTAGTTGTGAGCGGACAGGATCCAGGGGGCAGGTAGTGAGACGAGCTTCTGAGAAAACCTTAGTGACCTCTTCGGTAGTGGCAAGTTCAAAAGAGGAAAGTGTTGAGGGAGGTTTAGTATAAGGTATGCTAAGTGGGATGGATGTCTGTGAAGTGGCGATGCCCCTACGAATTGCATCATTCTTGTTTTTGAAATGATTTGCAATCTCGTGAGCAGTGAGTGAGGTACTGGGTGGGGGTGGAGGTGGAGAAAGTAGAGAGTTAAAAGTAGAAAATAGACAACGAGGACTGGATGACAAGGTATTAATAAGAGTGACAAAGTAGGCTTGTTTGGCAGCATGAAGGGAGGACTTGTATGTTAAGAGAGCAGATTTATATAGGGTGAATTCTTGTTGAGATTTGGTTTTACGCCACAATCGCTCCAGCGCACGACTATGTCGATTAAGATATCTGGTGTCGTCAGTCTGCCAAGGTTGTAATGGTCGTGGCCTGATGCTTTGTGTTGTTAGAGGAGCAAGTGAGTCTAATGTGGATGAAAGTAAACTGTTATAGACAGCAGTGGCCAGGTCAGAGCAGGACAGGGGAGATATTCTGTCATAGAGTTGGTCAGTTGCAGAGTGGAAAGGAGCAGGGTTCAAGTTGTGAAGGTTTCTGAGGGTAATTGTTTGCCGCTTGGAGGGATAGGTGTTTGAAGACGAGGACACTGTGAAGGTGATGAGATTGTGATCAGAGAGAGGAAAGGAGGTGTTTGTGAGGTTGTAGGGAGTGCAAAGACAGGAGAAAACAAGGTCTAATGTATTCCCATCAGAGTGAGTGGAGGACTGTATACAATGTGCTAATGCAAAAGATGAGGTTATGTTGAAGAGTTGAGATGTAGCCAGGTTGTTGACATTAATAGGGATGTTAAAATCTCCGAGAATGATAGTGGGTAGTTCAGAGGAGAGAAAGTAGGGTAGCCAGGCGAAGAAATCATCAAGAAAGCGGGACACTGATCCAGGAGGCTGATAGATCACTGCAATCCTCAGAGAAATGGGAGAGAAAACAGCCGGATGCAGTGAGTCTCGAAAGAAGAGAAGGATAGAGAGGGAGAGTTATGAAGGACTTGAAAGTTGCTGAGTGGGGATAGAAGCAAACTAACTCCACCACCTTTCCGACCACTGGGTCTGGGTGAGTGGGTCCAGAGGAGGCCTCCATAGGAAAGTGGTGCTGGAGAAGCAGAATCTGCTGCTTGGAGCCAGGTTTCTGTAATTGCTAGTAGGTTAAGGGAGCGGGAGACAAAAAGGTCATGGACAGAGGCGAGCTTATTACAGACAGAGCGGGCATTCCAGAGCGTACATGAAAAAGAGAGTGTGGATTTTGGGAGCACGGGGACCGATATTAAATTGAGGGGATTGCGGCTATTCCCAGAAGAAAGAGGATGCCTGGTGTGGGGGTGAAATAGTGGAGGACCGGGGTTTGGGGAGATATCCCCAGAGGTTAGGAGAAGAAGAAGGGTGAGGAAAGTAACATGGGAGAGGGATGTACACGAGTGCACATGCCTTCCAGTCCTGGTGTTTGGGTCAGCAGGAGAGTTAAGTATCAGCAGGAGGTGATGAGAGCAGTAGTAGGGAGATGGTAGCCGTGAGGGTGAGATGTACAAGTTTTGGGGTGGAGCAGAGGGGTAAAGAAGTGAGATTTTGGGAACGCAGGAAAGTACCGTATTTGCCGGCGTATAAGACGACTGGGCGTATAAGACGACCCCCAACATTTCCACTCAAAATATAGAGTTGTTATATACTCGCCGTATAAGTCTACCCCCTCTTTCTTTTTGCTGGTGCCATGATAGGGGTTTGACTGCTGGACATTTTCTATGCTGTATTGTACTGTACAATGGTCCAGTACTGTGGTTGGCTGTTGGCTGTATACAAAGCCTGATTGGATTGGTCCCTGCTCCCTGTCTGCCCTCCCTGTCTCCCTGTCACTACCATGTCCCTGCATCTCCCTATAATTGGCACTAGTGCGCAAGTCCGCATGTGCGAGCCCTGCGTAGACAAGGGGCGGGCCGGAGCGCTGCTGCTTCCCGCCGAGCAGAACGGGCTGGTCACGCTGAAAAGGCTGGCACCCCTGTATCGCTGCTGATGCTCGCCGCAGCCACGCTGATGACCCGCTGCGGCCTCACTGGATACCGTGCGATACTTTATGGTATGTAGAATGAGGTGGGCGGGCACCGCGCAAGTATCGGAAGGCCACTATGGCAGCTATGTCTATTGCAACTGAAGTGCACCCGGCGTATAAGACGACCCCCCCACTTGGAGGCATGTTTTTCAGGGCAAAAAAGTCGTCTTATACGCCGGCAAATACGGTAATATGAAAAGGATGAGTAGAGGGGACATATTAAAAAGGTACACGGAGTGGGACTTGTAAGAGATGTTTCCCAGGGTGTTTGCTTGCAGTCTGTTCAGCATGCAGTAGAGTTTCTTGTTGTATCTTCCTGCTGCTTGAGTTATCCTGCTTTAGTTAAACTGCTGTGTTTAACTGCGTCTTGGCACTCCATCAACACAGCACTCACGCACGCAAAAGCAGCACCCCATCTGTGATTTCACCCCATGAGCTGATCTAAATTTATAGAGAGATGGTCAAATGAGCACTCTTCTCCGCCCTAATTAGGAACTGATAAGGATCAAATGCATAGGGGGGGATGTTTCTCAAACACAGACCAGACACAGGCTACAGTCATAAAAAAGGGGGCAACTAGAGATGAGAACTAATCAACAGACAAAAATATATATACACTATTCTGAAATTAACAGGAGTCCATGCGTTGTAGTTTAGAGTGGAGAAGCAGATAGCAGCATTTACCCAGAAATAGCAGGAGTATATATAATAGCCGATTGTGATGCACATAAGACACCAAGATAATTTGCATAAATGTTACCAAATTTGCCTGTAGCGATAGAGTATGTATAGATAGAATAAGTAAAATTGATAATTTCTCCCTGTAGACAAAATAACCAATGATAATAAGCCACATAAAATATTAATAAAAAAAAAATTATGCGTGCAAAAACCCAAATTGTGATCTGAAAATGAATCTTCTAAATAAATCCAAAAGGTCACTATAAATCATCCAGTGTCCAAAAAATATTTTTCTTAAGTAGTGAACTGTCCGAAGATATGCGTAGTCATACACAGTTCTTCCTTGTTCCCCTATTGCCTCAAAATAAAGAAATAAACATAGTGCATCACCCTTATAACTTAATATGCCTACAAAACATCTCAGTGTACCCGTGTGGGAAAAATATATAAATAAATCAAAACTCTATGTGCTACCAGCACTAAGTGACTGCAAACGTGAAAATCTATCACAGAAAGAGTGAAAGTGAATGCACAAACACAAGATCTCCTGTCAATCGATGTACCTTACCAAATTGACAAAAGAAACCAAGTACAAAACATGCTGCAAATCCTCCAATTGCAAGCAAAATGGATGATGTGAACCCATACACTCAAATAATAGTGAAAAAGGTGTTTTCTGTGAACCAAAACCTGTTATCCAGTGCACCTTACCAGAGGACAGGTAAACAGGGCTTAGAATAGACAACCAGCTATCCCGGATCCTGTCTTCATATGCTCCGCACAATAATGATGGTACCACAAAGAGAAAAATATAGCAATAGTGCAAAACCTTCAAACAACTTAAAGGCACTTTAATAGAACTGCTTACATTTAAAATTGCAGAGTTAGCGCAGCTAAAAACAACCAGCAGCAAACGTATAAGGCTCACTATCTCCCAGATGGATAAACCACTTCCAAGATGGCCGATTCAGAAATTCTGGCTAAATCTGACATCACTTCCTGACATGTTTCGTCATTCTGACTTATTCATAGGATCCTATAAATGTGACCTATAAACTGTACAACTCAGCTGAACAGCAAACTGAAATCTTTTAGGTGGAGGGAAGTAAAAAAAATAAAAAACTAAAATAATATGGTTATATAAGTGTGCACACCCTTAAACTAATCCTTTTTTGAAGCACCTTTTGATTTTTATTCTAGCACTGTCTTTTTGGATATGAGTCTTATCAGCATGGCACATCTTGACTTTTTCTTGCAAAAACACTCCAAATCTGTCAGATTGCGAGGGCATCTCCTGTGCACAGCCCTCTTCAGATGACCCCACAGATTTTCGATCAGATTCAGGTCTGGGCTCTGGCTGGGCCATTCCAAAACTGTAATCTTCTGGTGAATCCATTCCTTTGTTGATTTGGATGTATGCTTTGGGTCGTTATCATGCTGAAAGATGAAATTCTTCTTCATGCCCAGCTTTCTAGCAGAAGCCTGATATTTGTGCCAGTATTGACTGGTAGTTGAAACTGTTGATAATTCCCTCTACCTTGACTAAGGCCCCAGTTCTAGCTGAAGAAAAACAGCCCCCAAAGCATGATGCTGCCAACACCATGCTTCACTGTGGGCATGGTGTTCTTTTGGTGATGTGCAGTGTTGTTTTTGCGCCAAACATATCTTTTGGAATTATGGCCATAAGTTCAACCTTGCTTTCATCAGACCATGCCACTTTTTCCCAAATGCTTTTGGGAGACTTCAGATGTGTTTTTGGAAACATATGAAGAATATGGGAGATTGTTGTCACATGTACCACACAGCCAGTACTTCCCAGATATTCCTGCAGCTCCTTTAATGTTGCTGTAGGCCTCTGGGCAGCCTCCCAGACCAGTTTTCTTCTCATCTTTTCATCAATTTTGGAGGGATGTCCAGTTCTTGGTAATGTCACTGCTGCACCATATTTTCTCCACTTGATGATGATGGTCTTCACTGTGTTCCATGGTATATCTAATGCCTTGGAAATTATTTTGTACCCTACTGACTACTACCTTTTAAAAATGAGATCCCTCTGATGCTTTGGAAGCTCTTTGCATGGCTTTCGCTATAGGATGCGACTAAGAAGATGTCAGGAAAGACCTACTAGAACAGCTGAACTTTATTTGGGGTTAATCAGAGGCACTTTAAATGATGGCAGGTGTGCACTGACTCCTATATAACATGATTTTGAATGTGATTGCTTAATTCTGAACACAGCTCCATGTTTGCTTCCACCCCTAAAAGATTTCAGTTTGTTTTTCAATTGAGTGGTACAGTTTATAGGTTACATTTGTTTTGGCTGTTTTTCCACCGCACTTATTCACTTGGTTCTATCTAAGATTATAAATGTAATAAGTGATTACAACCTTTTGTCTATACATGAATTCAGCCAATCCTCATGTGGCTATTACCAATATTGTTAATACCAAATGATAACAACTGTGCAATAAATAAAGATCTAATTTATTTACACAGCAAAGAAGCTGACTACTAATCAATTATGACAAAATAAATAGTAGCCGGTAAAACTTTAAAAGTAGTAATATTACAATGCAAATACAGAATGTTACCAAAACAAAGAAAGATGACTATAAGAAAGAATGTTACAGAAAAAAAACATAGAATAATACATTACACAGACATCCTGATGACTGGTCTTGCAAAGAGGCAAGAGGACAAAGACAGTGTGAGTCTCGTTTTGGTGTTATATACTCTTTGCAAAAGACCACCCCTAGACTCACCCACCCAAGTAAATTCAAACCTTTCCACATATCTTAACCTCCAATGGGTGGGCTCAGAACACTGGTCAGTTTAGTTAAAGAAAAACAGGAATTCCCATTTGCCTGCCATCCCCCTCACCTCAATTGAGTCTTTTTAAGTGGCATTCCCACAGTTCAAAAGTTCACAATAACCTTCATGAAGGTGAAAATTATTATAGGGCCAAGAAGGTGAAAATGATTATAGGCCCAAAACAGCCATTACACATTAAAGATGGAAAAAGTTCTGAAATTATTTATCTTTGTCTAATTTTTTTCATCACGGAAACCTGACATTTTAACAGGGGTGTGTAGACTTTTTTTTATATCCAGTGTGTGTGTGTCTACCTTCAAAAAGATACATTTAAACAGTCTAAATATATAGTGAGATTACACATAACAACCTGTGTGGATATTCAGAAATCCTTTCTAGCGATGGGAACTTGTATCAGGATAAAATCTTTTATAGATACCTTGCAACATTGTATTATGCTTTAAAATTACTTATACATATGATACTCCTATACACTCTTATACACATGATATTCATAATGGTTTTGTCCAAAAAAAGAATTTAGTGATATGGATAGTTTTAAGCATATAAAGAATTCCAAAATTCAAATGCATAACCTCCCATAGAGATCCCTTTAACCACTTCCATACAAGGGCACTTTTACCCCCTTCCTGCCCAGGCCAATTTTCAGGTTTCAGCGCTGTCACACTTTGAATGACAATTGCGCGGTCATACAACACTGTACCCATTTTCTTCACACAACTAGAGCTTTCTTTTGGTGGTATTTAATCACCACTGGGTTTTTTATATTATGCTAAATTAACAAAAAAAAGGCCAAAAATGAAAAAAAAAAACATGTTTTTCTTTGTTTCTGTTTATAAAAGTTTGCAAATAAATAATTATTCTTCATAAATTTAGGCTAAGATGTATTCTGCTACATTTCTTTGGTGAAAATAAGCCAAATTAGTATTTATTATTTAGTCTGTAGGAAAGTTATAGAGTTCACAAACTATGGGATATAGCTGAAAATTGATCTATCCTGAAGTACTGACAGCCAATCTAATTTCTAGGTCCAAGAATGTCAGAACAGTACAGATATCCCCCAAATGAGCTATTTTTGTTATCAATCCGACATATTTCATAAGAAGCATGGCGAGTTTTTTAAAGTTGTAATTTTTTGGAAAATGAAGAAAATTAAAAATATTATTTTCATAATTTTTTTGTACATACTGTCACCAGTGCAGTACAGCATCATCATATAACTGGCATGGCGGTGATCAGGGACACTGGTGACAGTACGAAAAAAAAAAACATTTATTTTTTTTTTTTTTTTTCTCTTCTTTTAAGATTTTTTTTTTCATATTGCACTATGACCAAAGTAGTATAATGTTACCATAGTAACATTGTACTACTTTGGGGAAGTGATCAGTATTTTTTTTTTACACAATTTGCTTATAGCAAAGAATTACTGTATTTTCCGGCATATAAGACGACTTTTTTACTTAAAAACATACCCCAACAATTGGGGGTCATCTTATACACCGGATATAGAATGCTGGATGTGCGGTAATACTGTATGGTAGCTTCAGCTACATACAGTGTACCGCGCTGAGCCAATCACGGCGAGCGATGTATTCTATTAATACAGAGCCTGCTCGGATTGGCTGAAGTTGTGACATCATCAGCCCGCCTCTCTGACACAGTCAATCCAAGCAGGCTCTGTATTCATTAATAGAATACATCACTTGCCGTGATTGGCTCATATGACGTCCTCCCATTCTCCACGCATGTCCCTCGGACACAGCTATCACCGATCACGGAAAGAGCTGAAGATGTCGGCTCGGTCATGTGATCAGCTGTGTCCAATCACAGCTGATCACATGTAAACAGGGAAATGCCGGTTATCGGCATTTCTCTCCTCTCGAGCTGTCACGCTGACAGCTTGAGAGGAGAGTCGGTAATCGGCTTTCCGCAGAGGGGACATGTACACTGATCATCAGGGCACTGATGATCAGTGTAGCCCTAGCAGTGCCAGCTGTCAGTGTCCATCAGTGCCACATCAATGCCACATATCAGTGCCTACCAGTGCACATCAATGCCACATATCAGTGCCCATCTGAGCTGCCTTTCAGTGCCACCTATCAGTGCTGCCAATCAGTGCCACCTATTAGTGCCAGTCAGTGCCGCCTATCAGTGCCATGTATCAATGCTGCCTTTCAGTGCCCATCAGTGATGCCTGTCAATGCCCATCAGTGCTGCCAGTCAGTGCCACCTATCAGTGTGCATCAGTGCCAGTCAGTGCCGCCTATCATTGCCATGTATCAGTGCTGCCTTTCAGTGCCCATCAGTGATGCCTGCCAATGCCCATCAGTGCCACCTACCAGTGCCTCCTCATCAGTGCCACCTATTTCATATGGGTACAGTGTTGCATGACCGCGCAATTGTCATTCAAAGTGTGAGCGCTGAAAGCTTAAAATTGGCCTGGGGGGGAAGTGGGTATAGGTGCCCTGTAGGCTAGGGGTTAAATGGTGTTGCCTCAGAAGGGGGGTAGTCTTATATGACAAGTATAGCCCAAAACCTGTTTTAACTGGAAAATTAGGGGGTCGTCTTATACACCCAGTCGTCTTATATGCCGGAAAATACGGTACTTTGCTATAAGCAAGCATTTACCTGAAGGAAATCGATTCATTCAGGGGTTTTTTTTTTTGTGAATAGCTGTGATTTTGCCACGGCTAATCACATGACACAGCTGGGTTGTGATTGGCCAGCTTGTGCATATGATCGCTGTGACCATTCACAGTTATACACACTTGTATACCATGGATGGCATGAAAGGAAGCCATCCATTGCATACAACTGTCATGTGACCTGCTGTGATTGGTCACAGCAGGTCACATGGTACTGGCAATGGGGCCGGTACACAGATCTGTCATCGACCGTGTCCAAGATACATGGCCGGTGACCGATCTCGCCACAGCGCGGCCCTGGGGGCATGCGCAATGCGCATTCCGGAAGGGACGCCATATGGCATCCACCCGGAGGGACGAGCTGTTCGCCCAGCCGCCATCTGGCTATAGGCCGGGCGGCAACTGGTTAATGAGAGGTGTTTGTCTATTGTTTACCTTTCCCAGAAGGGGAAACAATAGTGGGTCATTGAATGACTTAGGCTGTTAATTTGTTGTGTCCATCTGGGCAAATAAAGTCCACATTCTCACAAACCCATACCAGTGCTTTTATTTAATCTGTTTTTTTCTTTCCTGACACTCTGTCTCGTGCCCTAAAATGTTGGCCTGTGTTTGTTAGGTCCAAGGTCTTGTAAAACAGATACTATATGTATGACAATCAGAAGAATCTCTCCTAGGCTCCAAGTCTGGAGAGATCCTTTGTTCAAAAGATTAGCTCTGTAAATAGCTTTGTTTGCAGGTCCTCAGCAGTTTCGGTTGAGAAAAATGGAGTTTCTCTGATGAGAAGGTCAAACTTAAAATGAAGGTATTGCTTTGATTTGTTTGACATTTGTTTCATACAGTTCAAAGATAAAAAATATAAAAAATATACTTTATTTTTTTTCATAAAAGTTCTGACAAGATAGAATGTGCAGTCTATAATGATTGGGTCACTCTTGAAAGAATTTTCACTCCCCCAACAATCTTTGCTGAACTCTACTCCATGGAAAAAAGTTTGCAAAAAAGTGGCCTGTTACTGTGGTTGACCCTGCCATCTCTATCCTAAACAAACATCTTATTGTACCTGTCAAAGATGTTCCTTCTTTCAAATATTCTGCTGATATAAAATTTTAAACTTTGTTAAAACTCTCTTTAACCTGACAGGCCCAGTTCTCCAGCTAACTGAACTAATGAATGACCAACATGACCCTGTATTTCAGAAGCATGCTGTTATAGAATAATTTCTGCTCTTTTTTTTGTGTAGATGCCCTGGAACATGACATGATTGCTCTAATTTCCACTCATATGCACAGAATCTTATGGATAAAGACGCTGCCTGTAGAGCACTGGGGAGGAGCCTGAACATGGCGGCAGTGGGGAGTGAGCGGCACTAGCTTTCGGCTGGGTCCCGAGCCCCGACCTCCCTAGTGACCCTCAGGAACCGACTCACCGGAGTCTGGAGGGACGTGGAATAGAGCCCGGAGAGCCGGAGATGGTAGCCGGACGAAGGTTGCAGTGACGTGCCGGCCCCTCCGGTGCTTCGTGAGAGAGGGGATATCCAAGGACGGCTGGAAGACGAGGTGACGTAGCGGGGGGGCGTGTGACCAGCCGCGGAGGACCTCTGGGAGAAGAGGAAGCCGGCCGGCCGCCTGACTGGGCAGGGAGACGCCGGCTTAGGTTACCAGCTCTCTGTTACCCACAACCCCGGCTAACTGCTGCCTACAACCCCCAGCTACCTACTGTCTGTAGCCCCCGGTTTACTTCTGCCTGGGGCCCCCGGCCAGCTGACTGTTCGATCCTGGGTCAGGGAGACCCGGGAGTGCCAGGAGACCCACCCTGCATCCCTTGGACGAAATCCAGAGAGAAAAATTGAGGTACAGCGTTGGAAGCCCAGAGGAACCCCCCCCAGGACAGAGTTGCTGTGAAGGCCCTCCACCCAAGCTTGGAGCCACCGTCCTGGGAAGAGAAGGGTGAGTGAGAGATGCTGGGGGTCTATAGTTGACTCCTGAGTGACATTGGGGACCAAGGGGTTAAGGAGGAGAGGGGAGGATTCCCTGGGTTCAGAAGAGAAGAGTCCCACGTGCCCCTAGGAGAGCATAAGCAAAATTAGTAAACCTGTCTGGATCACAAATCATAAAGGAGAGGTACAACTCCATCTAGAGAATATAGAAGACAAAAGACTTATAGAGGATATGAAGAATAAAGGTCCTAAGGGAGCAGGGCTCAAAGGGTCTCAATCAGGCACGATAAAGAAATATACATCATATGGAAACATTACGCCAGAAAGGGCCCAAGGCGCAAGTGCTAAAGGGGAAATGGACACTAGCTTAGGAAACAGTCCAAGACTATCACTGGGTATGAACGGCAGTTGTAGCCAACAAATAGCGGATGGCTTGGGAAAAAAAGAACTAGGTGAATTACAAGTACCGAATAAGAAGGAGATGATAGAAATGTTTCAAAGTTTGGAGAAAACGATAAAACATGAAATGACAAGCTATTCGAAACGACTTAGGGCATCTGCTATCGAGAATGGAAGAAACAGAGGAGAAAGTTAAAACCCAGGCCCAAACCATAGATAATCTAAGGAAAAAAATAACCCATTTGGAGAAAACCCAGAAAAAATTGTTCTATAGGATGGAAATTCAAGAAAATAAAGAAAGAAGGTGTAACCTTAGGGTGTGAGGAATTCCAGAGTCTGCAAAAGGGGAAACATTATATGAACTAGTTAATAAAATCTTAAACTCCATAAGAGACAGTCCTGAAACAGAAGTGATTGAACTGGATAGAGTGTTCAGAATAGGAAAGTTTAAACAAGATACTGAGAGGGAAAGATCGAGAGATATAGTTGTCCAGTTCCAGAAATTTGGGGTCAAAAATGAGATTTGGAAGAAGATCAAGGGAAGATCGTTAATTAAGTATGGAGATTTGACTATTCAAATTTTTGCGGATTTAACATCAGAGACTCTATGGAGAAGGAGATCCCTGAGACCCCTGTTAGAGCAAATGAGAAAACAGAATGTGCAATATAGATGGGGTACTTCGGCATCTCTAATTGGCTGGAAAAATGGGGTTACAGCATACCTGAGATTCCCGGAGGAACTGAGAGATTTTTGTGATAGACTGGATTTGCAAAGAATGGAGATAACTGGGTGGGAAGAAGAAGAAAAAGGAGATACGGACGATACAAGACAGGAGGACTGGCAGCGGGTCGGGGGGGGAGGGGGAGGGAGGCTCTGGGGTTGGGGAGAAAGGGGAGGGAGAATTAAGTAAAATATATGCTTTTTTTTTTTTTTTTCTCTCTTTTTCCCTTGCCCCCCTTGTATCCCCCTTGTTGAGTGGAAGTCCCTCTGGAAGCTCCGGTTAAGGGGGGGGAAGTAAAGGTTATTGCTGAACCTAGTTGATAGAGAAAGGGGAGCTAGGGAGGTCGGAGGAGAGGTGAGCCGTCCATGGGCGGAGCTTACGCCCAATATTTTAAATCAACTGTGGAAACAGTTCCACAAATGATTTGTAGGCAGTTTATAAGCCTAAAAATGGGTAGGGGAAAAATAAGAGAGGGGGGGCGGAGGTGAGTGGGAGACGGGGGTTGGGTGGGGGGGGAGGGGTGGTGGGGCTAATATTCTGCAAGATATTCGGGCCTAATAGGAGGAGACGAATTAGAAAGAGAGACAGAATCAAGAAGGATGGAAGAAATACAGTTTATAACATATAATGTGAATGGGTTGAATTGTCCTGGGAAAAGATTTAAGTTGTTTAAAGAGTTACATCACAGGGCAACGTCAGTGGTATTTTTACAGGAGACACATTTTGAGATAGAATCAAATGTGAAATTAAAATCCAAATATTATCCAACATGGTATTACGCTGACTCTCCAATCAAAAGAGCAAAGGGGGTGGCAATAGGATTGGCAAAGAATATGAGATTTGAGTTGGAAGATAGACTGACCCGGAAGGGAGATTCCTGTTTTTGAAGGGTAAACTACAGGGAATTGAATGTACACTAGCCAATATATATTGCCCCAACAAGAAACCTGAGATCTTTTTTAAGGGTTTGCTAAAAAAAATTGATAGACTTTAAAAAAGGGCGTTTGATAATAGCAGGAGATTTAAATCTTTGTATGGACCCACAAAAGGATGCAATTTCCTTTGTGCAGAGAGAGGGGGGTAGGTCTGTGAGAGCCTTGAAGAAGGCGATCCACGAGTACCAACTGGTGGACACCTGGAGAATGATGCATATGAAAGACAGAGACTATACCTTCTTCTCTAATGCACATGAGATATACTCGAGACTGGATTATATTCTAATAGATCATCAACTCATTGAAATGCTGGTTAAAATAGAAATAGAGACAAGAACTTTTTCGGACCATGCCCCAGTCATAATGAAAATAGGATGGGGGAAAAGGTGGACGGGAGCTTTAGGATGGAGGTTAAATGAGGCTCTTCTCTTGGATGAGGATATTGTGCAGAAGATCAGGGAAGAGATTAAGGTATATTTCAAGGAGAATGAGACAGAGGAAGTATCGACAGCTACAGTATGGGAAAGTCATAAGGTATATATAAGAGGAATCTTGATTGCGATGGGAGCAAGGAAGAAAAAAGAAAGAAGAGAGAGGGTTAGTGGACTCTTAAAGGAAATCCTGGATTTGGAGCAGATACATAAGAAGAAAAAATAACAATAGAAACAAGA